TGTAAAGTTGTAATGAAGGCAAACTTAGGTGAATATGCATAAACGTCTGAATGTGTGTTCACAAAGGTTTTGAACATACTGCACATGTGTATTTTAGATATAAATAACTCTAGAAAGCCCATTGAAATTGTATTTTATGCAATGTTAATTGTTTAGGAAATTACACATGGGTTAAGTGTTGTATGTATGTAATACTTTCCAAATAAAAAATATAAGTTGAAAATGAAGCCAGTTCTCATGTGATGACAATGACAATGTGCCATTGTGTAGCATACTCATTGCCTTAAAAGTTTGACTAAGCAAAAAACAGGTAAGAAGATTCTGAATGGAAAAGCCAATATGCAATCCAGATTCTTGAAACAAAGGGCTTTCTAATGATATAAGATTTGTAATGTTTGATGAAGAAATTTCCAAGAAAGGTTCCAAGTAGACAAACAAACACAAACATATTATTTATATAGATTAGCTAGTAGGCCCAAACTCTATTCATAAATGCATATATGAAATAAATTAATAATTTCGTGGAAAACCAACATCATTGCAAAAGAAGGTAAATTTAGAGTGCTTTGCTTGTTAAACATCAAAAGGACCAAGTCTAGATATAATTACTAAATTTACTTTTTTATTTATATAGATCTATATATATATATATATATTGTACTTATTGTTATAAGAGTAAAAAAAATTAAAAACCAGAAACTTATTAGGTTAGACAATAAAACTTATATGAAAAAACTTTTTTAAAATTTCTCCTGATACTTGATATCTCAGCATGCACACATTGCATGGCATTACTGTAACTTGACTGTTTGCTTGCACAAAACTCTCTAATCGTAATAAATGGTTTTCAAGTACTCACAGCTGATCTACATACATCTGTAAAGCAATAAAACTAAATGAAAGCAAAAGTGAAAAGCTAAGTAGCTTACACTGGTAAAAAATAACTAAGATTAATTATATGGTACAATATTCAGTCATTTTAGAATAAAAGTAAGGGAAATATCGATTTACTTCATATTGCTGTCGTTTTTACCTTAATTGCTGATTTTGGTACAGTGTTAGGGTAGAGAACATAATGGATAAAGTATAAAATTTTACTGAAAAAAACTTTTGATATTCATTTAGGAGGTTCTAGACATTATGAATATGAAAACTGTATGATAAAATGAAGTATTTTTAATCTTACCATGAAAATCACCTTTTATTCACTAACTCAATAGTGTTTGTTTATTTTGGTATTAAGCATAAAGTTATATAATGGGTTATCCGTGCTATGCCCACCATGGTTATCAAAACCTGATATTTAGTGTTATAATCCCTCAGATTTACCACTGAACCACTGGGCGAGACTCATTAAAGGATTTATAAATTTTCTGATGAATCTTAGTCAAAATACTTTATCAATAATTTTTATTCCTTGTGTACAGCAGATTTTTCAGGTGTAATAGAAACACATAGTAAATTCATAATTATAGTAAACTTTAATTCTACAATAAAGCATTAGTCCAGTGGACCTGACTGGGCACACAGGGTTAAAAGATTAATTTACTTATTCTGATAATTCATTTTACTGATTGCAGTTGCCCTCACTTACAGCTATAAATTGTAAAACACATGACAAAAAGTAGCAGACGTTTATTGGTAACCTAGAACATGAGTTTTCAAATGGCATCACTTTGTTAGGCTCAGTGTTGTGAATTTTAACATATTTTGTGTTGCAATAAATTTATCTTCTTTGAAATAAATATTTTTTTTTATTTGGGTATGTTGTTTGAATGTAATAAAAATAACAATAATACTCAATAAATAAGGATTTGAGTCATATGCATATTTAGCTGTTGCCTACCATACACAACTAAACTTACTTGATGTCTTAACAAAAACGAGCATTTCTGTAGCTTTTAGGAAGAAATAATTTAACACAGAGCCATTTTCAGAATGTAGTTTGTTCCCAAGTCTTCTAAAACGATCTGTTATGTTCATTTGTTTATCCTAATTTATATTTCTCTAGAATAATGTAAATAACTTATAATATTCTCTGTTTAACTCTAGTTAAACTATTTTTGTTTTGTTTTTAAGTTTGTGCAAAGCTATTTGAGAACTGTTTGCAATAGCCATCCTTAATTTAGCAGTGATACACTAGAGGGAAGGCAGCTAGTCAACTCCACCCATTGCCACCTCTTTGGCTACTCTCTCACCAATAAATGGTGGGATTGACTGCCACAACTGAATTAAAAGGGCAAACATATTTGGCAACTGAGATCCTAACACACAACCCTCAGGTTGCAAGTCAAGCACACTAACCACAAGGCCATTTTCAAATCTGTAATTCATTGGTTATTGTTCAGATCACATACTGTGACATCATCAAATGGTAGAAATAAAGAGCAATAGTAATAAAACAAACAACTGAGAAGGAAATTCCCTTGAAAAAGAAGACATAGATAATTATATTCTTAACAGTCTTCAGTTAATAAATATAAACCCCTACTTTGGGTGTGTAGAAGAATTATAAGAAAAACGACTGATGATTGTATTGTTTATAGGTGAGTTTCTATGGTGCCTAGCAGAAATGAAAGTTGGAAGATTTTATCTTTTTTTTTTGTCATGAGAAAATGTCAATTCTAAAACATTTTTGAAATGGGGATAAGGTTATTCACACAAGTTTTACTACATATAATAACAAATTTGTGTGAATTGAAAAAAAAATTATTTCTAGTTTTTTAGTTAAAATTAATATTTTTACTTATAAACTTTGAAAGTTCATATTCCAGTGTGCACTCAACCAGTCTTAATACATTTAACCCTCTCTCCTTGGACATTTTTTTCTGTGCATGTCACAATGTTTTAGAGAGTTACTTTCAAAATGTAATTAAACTACTTTCTTATTTGGTATATGAATAAATTTGGCATAAAAATGTAGGTAATAATTGAAATTTTAACAGTATATAAGTTTTAAGTTCTCAGTTTTATTAGGCAATATAAAAAATCCTGAATTTCTCCTAGTAGGAGAAATATTATATTTTCTCTCTAGGTATTTCCTCTTTAATTTATTTACCACCCCTTCAAGAAGTATGAAGTTTAAAATAAACTACTCATTATAATATTGTCATCTCTCAGCCAAAGCATAATTCTTATAGCCTTCAATTTTATTTGGTTACAGAGCCATCAAATAGAAAATCAGATTCCTCATGCCACTCCCACCTGTCACATACTCTATTTCAGAAATTGCCAATAGTTCTCTCTGACTTTTAATACTATATTATTTATAACTAACAGAAAGCCAATGCTTTAATCTATCAAATGATGTATTATATTATGTTGTTTTCTGTACAGAAAATTTTCAATTACACTTTCAGTTCAAGCTTTATTCTCAAGGGAAACACTTTGATGAGCATAGATGAATTTTTAACAGCTCTTGCTGCATAGAGAGAAAGCCAGGAAAATTATGTTAGTTATGGGAGATTATCTACTTTTCGCATGTTATTATTCTGTGTTCACTAGTGCATTATTTAATCAAATAAAAAAATATTTAGTGCAGTACCACCATTAATATAAAAAAGTAGGGTTAAAGGTCATCGACAGTTGACAGCAAAAAAAAGAAGACCCAAATAAGTATTTTATTTCTTGTTTTTCATGTGTTATTTATTTATTATTATAAAAGTAACTAAAATATAAAAATTGGAAACTTTTTAGGTGAGACAAGGTTAGATTAGGTAAAATAAAGAATAATAATATCATAAACATTTTTCACAGGTCAAGGGGCAATAAAACAATAAAATTTAAGTATAAATAGATGTATACTGTTTCAAGTTTAATGCTATTTATGGTAAACAAATGTAGTTTCATGTTAAAAGTTGAAATCATTCTAGAAAGAAAAAGGGTAATTTAGAGTTATTTTAATTTTTGTTTCGTGATTATGAGGTCCATAAAATTGACTAAACATGTATAGAGTTAGGGTAGAGAAGATAACACATAAACTATAAAGTTTTACTGAAAAGAAAAAAACGTTTGTAAGATATTTAGGAGGTTTTAGAGATTATGCAAAAGAAATTTGATATTTTTGTGACAAAGAAAAGTATTTATTTTTAATCTTAACATGAAAATCACCTTGCACTCAGACTAGTAAGAAAAAGACTCAATATATTTACGTATGAAACTTTAATCAAAATACTTAATTAAAAAAAATCTGATTTTTTGTGTACAAAAGACTGGTAATGTTTACTGAAAGTATGACATGGTTATGAACTCCATCAATTCGATCAGGCTTGTCGAAAATAAGACTGATAGTAATTTTTTACAAATTTTTATTTATTGGCCCTAGACTGCAAGTTTCCAATAAGAAATGTAATTGCATTTTGAATGCATAACTTTTGTGCTGAACACCATTGCAGACATGGCCTTTTGCTCAATGAGAACAAATTAAAATGAAACATACAAAGCCTCAGTCAAAAAACTATTTATATAAGTCAATTATAAGATATCAATGTACATGTTTTATTATAATGTAATGTCACACAAACTACTAACCAATATATCACATTTCTCAGCATAAGCTTTTATGTGTGATGATAATTAATTTATCATAAACAGTATTTCAACCAAGGCTTTGTGTGCTGCATTTGCAGCTGACCAGATGAGCTCTGACATGAAGCAAAAGGCCTCATCAATAATGGCATATGACACATAAGGAGTGAGGTTGAGATGCTATTGTGTTTCTGCTTATTGAAAACCATAACATAAAGCGAGTAATGAAAGGTTTGTAAAAAAAAAATATTATCAGACTTATTGTGATGTAGTGTCACAGAAACTACTAATCAATATGAAAATATTACAATGCCATAGACCTTGGCATCAAAGTGAAAAATGATGGCTTTGGAACTCAGTTTCTTTATCAAATTATTTGTTTTAAATTAAATGCCTCATAAACAACATAAGTTCTATTTTTTTTAAAGGCTTTCAAAGTAATAAGCATAATGATATGTCTAGCTCTAACCAACCTCAGCTTATTCAAGATGTCAGCAGCAGTGTGTTCCAGCAAACAATGATGTATAAAATCCAACGGAAGACAACCTTTCTCTCTACAGAGTGTTTCAAGGTAGCTTCGCACTTTCTGAAATATGGATGGTTATAACTGATTATTATTATTTTCAAAATACTGTAGTAAATAAAGAATAAAAAATTAATAAAAACTGTACACTATATACTAGAGATGAGAATGACTAAAAAAGAATAACAACACTGAATGTTTTTCGTAGCCCCAGGAAGTCCCATACAGGCCATGCACACCCAAAAAGTAGAGGTCTAGGGGCTAAAAGGCCATATGCTCTCAAATGCATTTGGAGCTATTTTATGTACTCTTTAAATGTAATTTTTAAAGGTAGTTTTAAATTCTAAGATAATTAAAGTAACTTATGAGATCTTTACACTAGTCATACATGGCTTTTATAGCAGTATAAGTGCACAAGTGACTGCCTCCTTTTCCAGCAAATGCACCTTCGCACTAACATTCTTCTTCAGCTAAATCCATTTGAATTTTTTTCTTCAGTCATTTATTTGTTTCTTCATTAACATTTCCCTATCCTTGTCTCAATTATTTTTGCTAATCTTGCATATTTAAAAGATCACTAAAAGGCAACCACTTCACTGTTTCAAAAATGGATAATGAAAGGTAAATAGCCAAAACTTTTGTGTAGTTATATAGAATTTCTTAATTTCTTGACAACTAGTACATTTTGTCCAATCAAGTAACAGTATATAAAACACTGTTGGGTATTCTATTTTGACAGTCAACCACTAGGTACTGTGAATGAATAGCAATACTACAACATGAACTAGGTTCCTGACCATTCCAAATTCAACATCAACCTCATCACACACACCTCCAATTTTATCATCAAATATACAATAATTTCAAGAATGACCCAAATTGACCAAAAGAACATGGAAATTCATGAAAAATTCACACCATTATATAAATATATATATGTAAACACACACATTACGTTTTCCTACAAGAATCTTTCATTATCTCTTATCCCTACCGACATGGGTCTTCCTATGGTTATGAGTCATAGGCCATGTCATCGCATTTGTAGACTCACATTCAAAATTTTTTTGAACTACTATTTTATGAATGTATGTCAATAAGTTTGGGATCAAATTGGAGATTATATTTTAAATTTAAATAGAACGGAGTCTGAAAGGAGAAGGTTGGGCACGACTGAGGTCAGTGTTAAATAAGACACCCAAATGTACAAGGTATTGGGTAGGACTTAGGAAGGACTTCTCCAATTTGATCAATCAGCCTAACTGAGCAGCTTCGAGAAGGAGCTGACAAGTATGAAGACTGACTCCTGTTCAGAATGGGCCAAAAGTAGTCAGTCGTCCACGTAAAAAATGGAAATGCAGTCCCAAGGCATGAAGATGAAGATCAAAAGGGTACAAAATTGGTATATCACCCCTCAATGGATGAACCGAAGATAAGGATGAGAACATTTCGAGATGGGAATATGCAGATAGGAGATGTCCATCTTGGTTATTCAGAGACCTGGAGAAAAAGCCAACCAAAGATTGAGGTAGGACGTCATTGTGAAACATGGGAGATGAACAAAGTGATTGATGTGAGACAGATTGAAGATAGGTCTCTAGTCCCCAGTCTTTTTGGGAACAACAAACAGACGGGAATAAAATCCTGGTGAATGATGTGGAACAGGTTCTTTAGCCTGTTGGGTGAGGAGGTCCTGTACTGCCTCTGATAAATGCTGGCAAGTTACTGGACCTGGGACAAGGAAGATGGGGCAAGAAACAGAATTTCGAATCCCTATGACAAAACCTGAAGAACCCCAGATATCCGAGCTGAAAGTGCAGCACAAATGAATGAAAGCTGCAAGGTGAACTCCCACCAGGCCCAAAGCCACCAAAACTATTGGTGGCATATCGTGTATTGTCGAGAAAACTGGCGAGCTGTGGCACCGAGGGAAGGAGGGACAGGTAAGGGATGGAAGGAAGAACGGGAAACTGAAATAGGCACCACACTTGAATCTGACTGAGATAAACAGGAAACTAGATGTGAAAATGGTAGAGTGTTGCTGGGAAGATGCCACCCAAGACTCTATGGATTCTGGGAATGTATCAAAGACAAAACGTCTTAAAAATGAAGCCATATGCAAATCCCGAAGATAAGGAGCAGGTAAACAGGTTCAAGATAAAACAGCATCATGACCTAAAAGGTCCCAACAACAAAGATACCACGTTTGTAAAGCTAGAGCCGAAAATGATAAACGAGTCAACGAGGAGATAAAGGTTGACCCATATAATGTTCAATCTCCCTGTGAATAAACAGACAAATCTCCTAATTGGTTGCCAGTACCTGAAGCCTGTGGTACAGTGCCTGTTGATTATGTGACACCGGAAGTGGCAACATTAACTTCCGAATTCATGGTGAGGTAGTCGACAAAAGCATTTGAAGTGAATTGAAATAATGTGAAAAACTGAGTATTCTAAATTAAACCAATTCGAGAAAATATGATCTCAAACACAAAACCAGATGAAAAAAGAAAGATGTCCGATTGCAAGTGCTGCCAAACGAGAAGTGATAGTTCTATAGAGGCACATAGAGAAAGTCACATGTGTCATGTGAGTGTACTATGCTCCTATTGGTGGATATGTGACACATGATGATTTGCATGAGAGACATGTTGGAATCACTTGATTCCAATAGGGGGTGTGTGGAAGGCTTGTGGCATGCTTAATAGAAAAGCTTACATATAGAGGGCAGCAATAAATGAAAATAGCAAGTACTGTATTGGAATTTTCTGATACATAAAGTATTTTAATCTTAAAATCAAAATTACTTTGCATATCAGATAGACAACATTCAAAAAGAAAAAATGCATAAGAAAACACTACTTAGAAATCTTAAACATTAATGAAAAAAATCTGATATCTTACGTATGAAAGCTTTGTAGTGTTTACTGAAAAGCTACAAATCATTGTGAAGATATGCTTACTGTATTAAAAGTTATAGCATGAAAACTATAATAATCACAAAATCGTTACAAGGTAGAGAGTTAAGTGGATACTTTTTTGGAACAGACATTCACCTTGTAGTAGGGATTTTTCCCTTTCTAATTACAATGAATGTCTTTGTGTAAAGGTTATCTACAACTTACCTTATAGTTTGCCTTTGTGTAGTATGCCCTAAAGCATATTTCTTGGCAGAGACAGACTCAGCAATCTGGACACCAGTGCCATGATTCTTTTCTCTCCCTTGTAAAATACATGCATAGATTTATTGGGTTATTATTTTTTCAGATACGAAATTCTGGAAATTCCTTTCTAGTAGCTTAGTTGACTTTGCTGATCTGGATGGGTGCAGCATTCATGGCTTCTTCAGAGACAAGTAGTTCTGCCAGATTCTTAGCTTTCACTAATTTCATCATATGAATCTTTTAATGTGCTTTTCATGGGAATGGCCATGTTTGTTGTAACTTTTGTCAAAGTAATAACGAGTTCAAGGTGTATAAAAGGATAAAAGTAGAGTTATGTTCCAGCTTTGAGTGAACAAGGAAACTAAGAGACCATAAAAACAGTTGGACAAAAATATAAATGGTATAGCCATAAATTTGTGCTTAAAAATTTGTAATATACACACTTACACATCATATGCAACCTCAGAGCATTTTCAGGTCACTTAACTCTCTCAACATTGGCTCAGTCAATTTGACCAACCACGTGACCTCTGTATTCATATAAAGTCTTTATAGATTTGATACAACTAACTTTTAATATAGTATGTATATCTTCACAAAATTGGGCAGCCTTTCGTTAAACATTATAAGTCTTTCACATATAAAAATCATATTTTTTTGTGAAGTATTTTAAATAAAATAAAAAAAGATTCATCCATGAATATATTTAGTATTTGTTTTGAATAGTCTGTGTGCAAAGTAGTTTTCATGTTAAGATTAAAAATACTTTTCTTCATCTTGAAAATCTCAGATGTGATTTGTAATATTATACATCTATTTATAATTAAATTTCATTGCCCTATGAACCATGTCTAACTACTATTCCCACCATTACAAGTTGTAAATCACTTGGGGGAACTGAGGCACACATTATGCTATTGAATTACATTACCCATGAGCTGCTTGTGTGCATGCCTTGAGAAATATTTATATTGTATTTTTATTATCATTTACCATACCTAATTGAACCTTAACTATCCTAAAGAGATCCCTATTTTTACATTTTAGTTACTTTTATAATAATAAATAAAGAATAAACATGAAAAACAAAAAATAAAGAACTTACCAGAATTTCCTTTTTCTTGCTGTCGACTGTTGTTTAAACTTAACCCTACTTTTTTATAATAATGGTAGTAATGCCCTAAATAATTTTTATTTAATTAAATAATGCACCAAAGAACATAGACTAATAACATGCAAAAAGTAGAAAATTTTCCCTAACTCTCACAATTTTTCTGGCTTTCTAACTATGCGACAAGAGCCGTTACAAAATCATCCAATCTAGTCGTAATCTTTCCTGTGGGAACAAAGCTTGTACTAACAGTGAAATTGGCAATTCTACTTTCAGAAAACAATGCTATATAATACATCATTTGAAAGATGAAAACTTTGGCTTTCTAGAATTAAACATAAGAAAGAGCTATTAACAAATCTTGAAAGAGAAGATGTGACAGGTGGGTGTACAAGAGGGGTCTCATTTTCTATTTGATAGCTCTCTAACAAAACAAAATTGAAGGCTATAAAAATTATGGTTTGTCTGAGCAATAACGATTTTATAGGGAGTAATTTACGTTTAATTTCGTACTTATTGGAGGAGTGATGGATAAAATAGAGAAGATGCCTAGAAAAAGTGTGACACACTTGGGGAAATTCAGGATTTTTTTAAACATTGCCTTATAAAATTAATAACTTAAAACTTATAAACTATTAAAATATGGATTATTAGCTGAGATTTGAATTGTTATAACATAAACAAAAAACAGATTAATAAAAGTTTGAATGTAAATAACTAAAACTTTGTGACATATGCAGTAAAGGATACCCGTGGTGATTCGGTGAAGAGGTTAACAAAAAATATGCTATTACAAGATGACAAAAACCTTTTACACTGTCATAATTTTCATAATAAAAAACAAGTACTCGCTTAACAGTCAATTAGAAAATATTTACAAATCTTAATGTTATGTGTAGTTGTATGTGGAAATATTATAAAAACCACAGAAAAAAAAAGCACAAGATAAAATGTACGTAAAGCTATAACATCCCAAATGGATACATCACAGAAATACTGCAGTAATGGTAAAGACAGAAATAAAAAGAACCATAGAACGCAATTCTTTCTTCTTTTTTTCATTTTCAATGTATAAGTCTGTTAGAAAACTGGTTTTACATTTTGAACATGCAACCATAGTGTGTTTACAAATAATTGTTAACAATTTAAAACAAAACAACTTTTAACAAAGACAGGCAGAATTAAGATGGTCAAGGTATTCTCAGGTTTAGAACACTTCCACATGATACCTGTCAACCTTTGCAATTATGCAGACATTTTTCTTATTTGTGAAACACATTCATAAGTACAAGTTATGAAATTGTATTGTTCTTCTCTGATATGATCTTTGAGAATGGCATTTATAGCTGGATATGGAATGAAAATCACATTTGATTTTGATGTGTACTCATAGACAAAAGTTCAGGAATAATAAATCTGAAAAGTGACAACAAAAATAATGGAGCTACATGGTCAACCTATCAGTTCAGCAGAATGTTGTTGTCCAGTGCCTTACAAATACAGAAATAAAAGGTTTTCCATCATGCCTAGGAATGTGACTATCCCAGTTACTAGGGTGTTAGTATCTTCACTTGAACAAAGTCATCCAATGTTCCTCTTAGAACATACAAAACTTGTGTCTTAGAATTACTTGTATCATAACTGCATTGTCTGATCCTGAACATCATGGATTTATCAAAGTATAATAAAAATTACACATATGAATATTCCCTGTACCACAGGGAATATTGCTGTACAGTCAATATTTTGACAGTACCTTGAATCTTGGCTTAGGTCAAAACTAATAATCAAACTTTGAGAGCTTTTAGCCCAACATATACTTTACAGCATGTATCTTTATATTTCACACTTAGAAATGTTTTGAAATGTGTACCATGTTCATACGCATGACTATGCAACAGTTTCTGACACCAGTGTCATAACTACTAAATTAAGTTAAAGTATGAAGTTTTATAATAAAGAAAAAAATGAAATAACATCAATAGATAATCTAATAACACTGACCTCATCAGCCATTATATGTGGACACTGATCTTTGACACATTTCATCATGCAAGCTGAGGAATCCTATACAAAAAAGTTCTTGAAATGTATCCAAACAATATGAGAAAACAACTTAACACTGTAGTTTAATATTAGCAAGTACACTACACTGAAACATTCATTCACTTATATCCATAATGTTCACAAGCTGGTAAATGATAATTAGCCAAGACAAAAAATATCATTAACCCATAAAAAGTCATCTTGAAAGTCAACTAAATCATATTTTAGGCTAATCTTCTCAACCAAAATACATTTCAATATTCAACAATTCTTGTTCAGTATATTAGTGGTGCACATAATTGAGCACTTGTTCTTTAATTTTAATGTTTAAGATAAAAAGTTGTTGTAAAGTGTAATTAAAGCATGTACTATGATGTAGAAACCTGACCCAGTTATCAACAAATGGAAACAACAAAAATAAAATACATCAAGTTTGGCTATGGTTTATCAGTTGTTAGGCAAATCTTAGTTCTTTCACCTCCACTTAAACAGTTAAAGACAAATTATAGTTTTATTTCCAGATAAAACAAGAAAGTACACATTAAAAAATGCATTTGACTAGGTTTACCAAGCATCATCAGATGGATATATACAAATAAGGGAACAAAAATTGTTACATTTTGCATAATCAACTGCAATACTACTTTGCTAAGCAACAGAATAAAAGATAGTCAAACACTGTTCTTAAAGGGGGAAAAGAAAAATTAAATATATAAAATTTTACATCTGAATACTGGTTAATTCTAGTTTTTGTTCTGAAATAAAGAGGTTCTTTGATTTTTCTTCTATTAACATTATTTGATCAGTCAATGATTTTAATATCCAGGTAAACAAAAGTGATTCTTTTGAGCCACATGTGCTCATGCACAAAGGAAGTGTTCTTTTAGTCTTGTAGACACTTGTCAGAACTTTTCTCCAATGCACAAATCACTACAGTCTTTACATGTACTTTGGTACAAGGATCATGAAGCACCCTTATCAACAAATTTGCATAATACAATTTGACCTAGTTATCTTGTTGGTAGGAAGGAAAATTTCACATCTGAAGCTCCTTCTCCAAAAACTCTGAATCTTTTATTATAAAACTAAAAGATTCTGACCTGAGTGCATTTATGGTTAGTATAAAAAAATCTATTCACACAAGTGAATGTTGAAAAATCATTACTGTGCTCTAAAATGTTTTCCAAATGATTCCAACCCCAGATCTTTGTTAGATGTTTCCATCATCAAAGAACTTTTGCACTTTTGCACTTCTCATACAAATTTTCTATTTCATAATTTTCATTATGCCTAGACTGATGGTCTAAGCATGGAAAATCCTGTTTACATTGTTTCAGCTAATTTATTCATGATCAGAAATGAAGAAATTACAATTTCCAATTTATTCTATCCTCCAATTTCTGGATACATCACGTAGATGACATTTTTGTCATCTTTAAGGAAGTGATTATATTAATAGTTTTCTTTCATATTTGAATGCAATCCACCCCAACATCATGTTTACAGATGAAAATTAAGATTATGGAAAAATTTCTTTTTAATTGTTTTAATTGAAAAAAGCGAATGTGGATTTCATAGCATTGTTTTTTGTAAAGACACAGATACAGCAGTTTATATTCATTGGAATTATTTCCATAAACCTATACAAAAAAAAAGATCCTAAAAACCCTTTTTCATACAACTAAAAATAATTGTTCCTCTCAACTTAATTTACAAAAGTGTTAAATAAAACTTTATGATCCTTAAAGAAATGAATCATAACTTGAAGGTACAGCTAAAAACTTACAAAAACCATCTTTCTATTGTTCTATATTATGTATCCCTGAGCTTTCATATACCATTCAAAATCCTTCGTTAACAAGCATATACAAGAACACTTAAAAGCTCCTACCTTTTTCATTGGGAAAACGGCTCAAAATAATCCCTCTTCTGTTTTTTTGTGTTAAAATTATTGACAGAGAAAATAATACAAATAGAAGAAAAAATGAAAGGAACTCTACTTCTTAAAAAAAAACAACAACCTGGCATTAACCAGTATTCAGGTGTAAAATAACATTCATTTTAATATTTCTTTTTCCTGTTTAACAATTGTGATTCAGTAGCTTTTATTTGTTGTTTAAAGATATAATATTACTGGCAATATTCTAATACTGGTTTTGTTCTGTTATTAAAATGTATCCACTTGACAATGTAGGATACTCCTAGTGAAATACAGTTTGTTTGTTTTTTTTAAATAAAATAACAAATAAGTTTTTAAGACAAAATTACTTATTTTATCTCTAAAAAACTATAATTTTCAGTCACATGGGGTTTGTAAGAACATGTTAAAAGCATTTAAAAAATTAGAGTTTTTTAACATAAAAATTTTGAAGAAGTCTTTGTAACTCTGAAAATCATGGAAACAAATCTAGACCAAAATTGTAATGCACTAATTTCGAAATTAGACGTTCTTATTCAATTCCAAACCATTAAGTGTAAGAACTAGTTTACCAAAGTATATAACAGTTTGAATGTTGGATTTGTCTAGTTTCAACAAAGAAGATTCTACAGCTTTCAGGCTTTTGTCATGACAAATGTTTTTGTAAAGAGAAGAAACATCCATAGTGAAGAGAATAGTGTTTGGAGGAAGTTTTCTGCTACTGTTAATGTGAGAGATCATGTTCAGAAAATGTGTTGTGTCATTTATATATGGTGTCAAACATGGAGAGATATCTTTTATGTGGTGATTAATGTAAGGAGATAAGTTTTCAGTAGACAATAATCAGCTGACAAAAATTGTTGGTGTATCTTTAGTAACATGTAAAAGTGATCTGGAACCGGGTGTTTAGGTGAAAGGAACTGTGAAGTTTCATAACTGATATGTTGGCTTTTCTGTAAACAACATAGCGTGTCTTCAATAATTTTAACAAATTGCAGAGCGGGGTCTAAATCTACATTTTTATAGTGGTTTACATCTTTAAATTGTTGGTTAGCTTCAATGATGTAGTCGATTTTCTCTTGAATGATAATGGCACCACCCTTATCAGCTGGTTTGATAATAATGTCATTGTCATGTTTCAGTGAAATTAGAGCAGTATGTTCACTGTAGGAGAGACAGATTCGTAATTTTAAGTCATAATTAATGAAATTACTTGAATTGCTTCATTCTCAATTGCAGTAAAAAATCTGGTTCTCTGTGTACTGGGAATGACCAGAAGGATTTTTCTATAATCTGTGAGTTGTGATTATTTGCTTTAGTGGTTTTATTGTGAAAACATTTCCAAAGTTTTAATTTGTATGCAAATTCTTATAGGTCGGAAATAACTTCAAAGCTACCTATGTTTTAACTTTTTTAGCACAGGTTGGGGCCCAGTGATCAACCTTGTAACCATTTTGTGCTTGTTATAGTTTTCATGCTAAAACCTTTAAATTAGTAAGCGTATCTTGAAGAAAATTTGGCAGATTATCAGTAAACATTATAAGGCTTTTGTATGCAAAATATCAGGTTTTTTTTATTAAGTTTTAATATTTTTTAAGTAATGTTTTTCTCATGCCTTTTTTCTTTTGGAATTTTGACTATCCAACATGCAAAGTAATTTTGATTTTAAGATTAAAAATACTTTTCTGCATCAGAAAATTTTCAAATTTCACATGTGAAATCTTTATATCCTACAGATATGTATCAAACATTTTTAAAGAAAAACTTTATCTGGTATTTTTACTATTGAATCTCTGTATGGGTTCATTCGATTTGATTGACCTCATAATCACAATATAAAATTTGATGAATAAAATAAATATACATTCTGATTTTTTCGTTCTAGAATGACTACAAATCATAACACAAAAACACAAATGTTTAGTCTAAATAGCTTAAATTCCATAACATTATACATTTATTTATATTTATTATTTTACTACATTGACCTTTTCAGCTATTACAGAAAATGCAATGACGTAGTGCACATGCATCATTTTACAGTATCTAAGAATATAAATATGGCCTTTACAAAGTGACCTGTCTTCTGTTTTCGTGGACTTTATATATATATGTACATCATTAATATTTATAAACAAGTTCTTAAATTTTTTTCTTAAAACAAAGAACAGTAAAGAAAGAATTATAGAATACAAATCATCTCTTCTAGTTACAAACTTTGTGTTTGTTTGCTGCTTGCCATAGGTTGCTAAGCCTTATCAAATTTTGCATGTGGAGGATGTGAAACGAAATAAATGTTTTTAGTTTCAAATACACATTTTGAAAGAACCAAAAATCACAAATTACAATATCAATACCTTAAAATAACACTATAGTTTATCAAGCTTAGTAACTAAGCTGTATTTTGGTCTAAAAAATATGAAATTTTGAGCTTACTAAAGTCTTACCTTACCACTTGGAATCTTGTATAAAAAGAAAGATTTCCATATCCATATATTTCAAAAAGGCTGAGAAAACCACTTGGGAAACATTCTGTGCTTCATTGTGAGTCAACAAATGTGATGGCATGGCCATTGACCAGTGTTGATAGGATTAAAGTGTTGAAAAAAATTGAGATCTTTACTTAGAGAAGAAGTTGACAACATTGGAAGTGTTCTCAGGTTTCAGTTGATCAGACCAGGAAGTCAGTGAATTAGATAAATAGGGAATAGAGTTTAATTTAGGTGACAGCTCAACATAGATGATTGTATTGTTAAACCTATTAATCAATGGCTCACAGATAATATATATATGAGTCCGTTTAACCCTATCATAATGATGCCATTTTTTAAACACCTATCTGCACATGATACTGTGTTACATTCAAAATTTAATTATACCACTTTACTAACAATGTATTTTAATGAAATTATTATTATCAAATAAGTTATCAAAGTTTTATTTTATCTAAGTTTTTATTCCTTCATTTCAAAAGAAACCTCTAAAACAATAATTAAAACTGCAGTTTTTTGTTTGTTTTGTATAAGCACCATTGTGGTTACAATTATCCACTTTAATTCTCTAAACCTGGGCTTGGTCGATTTGACCAACCATGTGACCTCT